TCGACACGTCTCGCATCGAGTTCGTCAAAGAGGCGACAATAATGCACGACATCTCACACGAGCACATCGTCCGCCTCTACGGTGTGGTACTCGAGCCGTCGCTAATGTTGGTGACAGAGTTGGCGCCATTGAGGTCGCTGTTGGAGTGTCTGAAAGAGCCGGCACTCATCAGTCAGTTCCCGATCATAGCGTTGTGTAACTTTGCCGCACAAATAGCCGACGGTATGGCCTATTTGGAGGCCAATCGGCTGATCCATCGGGATTTGGCCGCACGTAATATACTGGTGTTCGCTAAGAATAAGGTGAAAATATCGGACTTTGGGCTGAGCCGCGCGCTCGGCGTCGGCAAAGACTACTATCAGACCAACTTTAACGTGAATCTTAAGCTACCGATCGCCTGGTGTGCGCCCGAGTGTATCAATTATCTCAAGTTTACGTCGATGTCCGACGTGTGGGCATACGGTGTGACCCTATGGGAGATGTATAGCTATGGGTTCCAGCCGTGGGCCGCACTCACCGGCCAACAGATACTGGAGGCCATCGACGAGCCCTCGTATCAACGCCTGGAACAGCCCGACTGCTGTCCCCGCGAGTACTACTCACTGATGTTGAGGTGTTGGGCGCACGACCCGACTGTGCGGCCAAAGTTTGCCGAAATTGTCTCCATTTTGCCCGACTGTCGACCGGAGTTGGTTCAGGCCGTGAAGACCAGCATAGAGTCACCGGTGCCGCCGCCCGCCGGCGCCAAAGAGCACTTGCCCTATAAGTCGGGCGATATTATCACCGTTTTGGACAAATGCGGACAACAATCGGCTGTGAATAACAATAATATCACTAATAATAACCACTCGTCGTCGTTGAGTATGTGTTCAAACGCCACGAGTGTCTCGTCTATGGCCTGTGGCGGCGGCGGTCACGATAACGGCGGCACTCTTTGGAAAGGTATGTGTTTATAGAGAGATAGTAGTCTATGATTAAAACATTTATCGTAACTGATCCATGAATTACAGGCGCCCTAAACAACGGCAAAACCGGTTACTTCAACCCCAGCGACTGTGTCTCCTATTTGGGCCAAAACCTGCCCACGTCTTCGTCTCAATCGCTGTCCACATCGACGTCCGGCGGTATCGGCGGCGCCGGTGGTCGGGAGTCATCGTCGGCCACCTCTACGCTGGCGTCACACGTATTGCAGTCTAAGTTTATACGCGGTTTTCTGGACTCGCGTCACAACAGCGGCGGCAGTCACTCATCAACCGGTGGCCAATCGGCCGCCGCTGGCAACCAATCGCCGTACGGTTCCCGACGCCGGATACGGCCCGACATGATTAGCCGACCGCAGGGCGATCTCGTCCACACCGGTCACGTGGGCGCCGACGGGGCCTTCTTCGGCGACGTGGGCTTCTTGGACGGCAAGTATCAACAGTTGCCCAAACAGGTTGTGGCGCCGTATAGGGCTCAAGACGACGTCCAGAGCCATCATCACAGCAACGGTTGCGGTCCACCGCAGCCGCCGAAGAGGGACTCGACGACGAGTAATGGCAGCGGCTGTGGAGGCGGTGGCGGCGCCCGAAACAAGTGGATGGCCAACGAGAAGAAGCTGAACCTGAAGAATGTGTCCAATTCTGGCGACAGTAGTCACGAGTATCACGAGATCAGCGACGAGGAGGACTTCGCCCCTCTCGAGAGTCCGCCGTTTGAGGTATGAGTTGTTTGACAATCAATTGGAAGTGTTGTTTGCCGTGAATAGTGTTTAACTATTCTCTCTCTTCTTGGGATCAGATTCTGGACTTCGGGCCGTCGCTGTGTGAAGAGGTGTTCCGCGAGTTGGACTCAATCAAACCGGACCTGAATTCGGACATTACGGACACCGAACAGGCCATCAACGAGACAACGGTGAACGTGAAGAACGAGGTGCGAGAGATCAACCTTCGCATCAACAAAGACATTATGCAGACCACCAGCAAAGGCAAGAAACAGGCGATGGTTAAGCCCATCTCGGCGTCGGATCAGATGGAGTTGGACTCAGCCATCGCGATGGCCAAAGACATCGCCACCAGATCTATGCTCACGTTAGACAGTAAGTGATCGTCTGATTGGCTGATGTTTTGCGGGTTATAATCAGTGGTAGAAACTAATGGTGTATTTGATTTCATAGATGAAATGCTTGACCCGAACGGCCGCCACAACGACTCGCCGAAGACACCAAACTCGCCGAATAAGAAGAAAACGTTTTCGTTTAAGTTTCACACATCGAAGTCGTCGCCGAAGACCGAACGGCGCAACTTCAGCGAAG